GGAGATAAAACAATTGTTACAGCAATATATTCTATATCCACTAAAGTACTGAATTCAATTTCCTTACATTTAATGCAGTCCTTCACGTACATAAGCAGTCCACCACCTTTTCCAAATTTTCGATCCTTTCTGAAGACTTTATATCCCGGGACCAGATATGCAGTGTTTGGTGATGTTTCTGTCAGCCACGTTTCTGACAAGCAAAGCAAATCGAAGTTCGAATTTGTAAGTAACTGTTCCAGTTGTTCAGTTTTTGAGGCAACGCTTCTGATGTTTAAATGTCCCATAAGTAATCCTTTGGGCTTTGAACGCGAATCCCATAAAAGTTTCTCATGATTTGCCGTTTTAAACAGATGAAAATCCTTTGTCTCGTTGTGTGCACACAGTTTAAAAGTTCCTTGTAATCTATTAACTCCAAAAGGCCGTGCGTCGTATTTAGGTCCAGGTCCTGGATTTTGATGAACGTCGCTCGCCAGAAGAAGAGTAATGGCTAAATAACTGATCGTTCTCCGGAACAATTGAGATGGTTTTCTTCTCTCGATAGATCGCAAGTGCTTTGTTGGAAAAGTCACTTTTCCGTCGTTTAATATCACGGAGAAAGAAGTGAATTGGCTGCATAAATCAGAGGTAGTAACAACAACTTGCGTGTCTGTCCACCGTTGATGTATGTTTGTTTCCCAACAGCAATGTAATGATAGAAACAAAAGGATAGCAGTATAGCCAATAACAATAATTTTCTGTGTCCTATCGGCAGTATTTTGGCTTTGATTGACTCTAGTTTTGAAATCAAAGTGATCAGTTTTTAGTTTTAAAATTGGCAGCGTTTACACCTACAGCTCCTGCCCTGCCGTCAGCGTACGCCGCCACCTTACCTAAGGTTAATTCTCTAAGAGAACACACAGCCAAAACCCAACAACTCTCTCTCTCTCCCCCTCCTCTACTCTGCTCTGGAGAAAGGAAGTGACATCAGGGCTTTTAAGGTGTGCCTAGTTTTGAATGCACCATTCCAGATGGTGCATTCAACCCCTGTCATCGGTTGTCTCTCTCGCTGGAAATAAAAGATAATATATCAATCATAATTAAAAACATCTATGGATATCAGAAAAAGTAATAAAAGTACATCCAGGCTTACCGAATAAATCCATTTGCTCAAAAGTCAATTCTTCCATAGAAATCAGATCGCTAGCACCTAGGGCAAAACAGAAGATAGACTGTTTGTTCTTTATATTAACCTCCTGGGGTCGACAGTTACGGCGGCGGAACTTTTAGCAGATTTGAATGTTGACAGCGAAAAGAACTAAAATGCTCCTTCATACTTGATCGTACATATAAGAGTAATACAGCATTTCAATCTGTAAAGGGTCTACTTTTATTTGTGTACACTCACAATATCAACAAAACATTGTGCTTTTGCAAAATAAAGAAAATATACAGGGTGTGCTTTTAGCCGTCTCATTCTCCGCGCATATCTGTTTGAAACGCGTCACTAAAATGAACTGAAACTCTGCGAATATTTGACACACACACATGAGAGACATATCTTTTAAACAAAGTAAGTCATGACGAAAACAAATATTATGTGACAAAGTAATCAGTATGAAACCAACGCGATGTCAAGTCTTGGCCGTCGCCCTCATTATCGCTAATGTGACCACACCCACGCGCTGATCGCGCTTTTGATATTACAATCATCCACGTGAGATGCGCACATGTAAACGCCCACATCACAGCAAACAAAGCAGCGAGACTTTCCCTCAAGTTCATCTCTGCTACTTCGCTTTTCTGGAAGAAGACGCGCTGAGAGAAATAAGCTTTGGATTTTCCAGAAGAACGCGCCCCGGCGTGATATTCAGTGGAGGATATAGTAAGTCTTTTTTTATTTGCCTACTTGCATTAGTTGCTATTGTGTTACTGTGACATAACTTGTACATATTTTACTAGTTACTTTTTCCAAACCATGATTCCTGACTAAATGTACAATCAAGTGAAACATTATGAAGATTCATTCACTGCATATATGTCTCACAACGCCAGGAAGTTTTTTTGTATGTTCTATAAAATAGACAGCAACGATATAAAAGTAATGTGAAAACCATTTTTAATATGTTGAATGTTTTATTCTCGGTCATTGGTATTCGCGATCGTCTGATGTGTAAACGTATCAAGTAAGCTGTAAATAAGTGATGCATCGACAGACCTCACTACTTTACATTGTAGCAAAGTGTCATTTCTTCAGTGTTGTCACGTGAAAAGATATAATAAAATATTTACAAAAATGTGAGGGGTGTACTCACTTCTGTGAGATACTGTATTTACTATATAACTATATAATTACCTCGTGATTTTGCCTATCAACGGCAGATGATAGTGTGATGCTAGCGCTAACACACAACAAACAAACAGCCGACATAAATTATAGTCAAACCACAAGGTTAAAATCTAATAAAAATATTCAATTTTAACATTAGATAACATTATTAGTCTATATAATAATATTTAAGAACTTTAAACATTAATAGGTTATATAATAATATTTAAGAACTTTAAACATATTAAACAATATTAAAAATGTTGTAATGTAAGCATATGTAAAACATGAGTGTTGATTTGCCTATAGTATTTAAATGGAAATGAATAGAATAAAGCATAGAGTTGAATGATATCAGCTATTGATTCAAATTGCCATTCTATAATGAAACAGAATAGAAATAGAGAAAAACCGACTGCTGATGCAAAACAATAATTACATTGAACATATTACAGAGGTTTTGGTGGGCTACCAGTGCACAGTAATACAATTAGGTATAAAAAGAGTTTGGCTATTTATCTATACAAAAACATAAAGAAAGACTTTAGGGAAAACAGGTTTTGCAAAAATAGCCGAATTAGATTATCTAAAGATGCGTCTGAAACCACTCCCTATCCACTATATAGCGCACTATATCGGCTGACAGCCATTTCGTAGTGCTGTCCAAATTATGAGTGAACTACTTCATTCCCTACATTCATTTACTACTTTTTACCTAGATTGCATTCTGATTTCGAGTGTACAATCCAATGCGGAGTAGCTACGAGCTGGACGAGAGCGCGGGAGCGTGCGCGTTTGAATGAGAGATGGCGTTTACATCTTTCTTATTTCTGCTTTAACGTTTATTTCATATATTATTTATATTAAAATATATTATGTTGGCAATAATTCAGTTTAATATTTTATTAATTTACTGAGGTAGCATCGTTGTTAACTACAAAAATGATGATAATCTGGTGGATAATTTAAAAGTTTTCTTTAATCGCATGTAGGTAGCGTATTCATTCTGATGTAAAATTAACGGTTGCCTGAGAGCGCTCTACGACTATTATCTTTGAAATTAAAAATTAAAAATATGAACGTGTTAAAGGGTGTTTATTTTGTTCTCAGTATTTTAATAGTATTATTATGAACCTAAAAGCTTTACAAAACAAATTAATAATCGACCATCAATGAAACCACAAAGCTGACGCAGAGGTATGCATAATTACAATAAAGTAATTTGATTGTTATTGCTATTAATATTATTTACATGTAATATAAAAGTACATATGTGATGAAGATGTTTTTGCAACAGCTCCAAGACTCAGGCACATTCTATATGACACCCGTCCGAATCCGTTCACTCATGCGTTTCATTTCATTCACTCCTGAATGAAATGAAGCGCACGGGTGAGCGTTTTCGGACACAGAAAATCTTAGAATAAGCCAAATAAGGGACACAAACAAATATGACGTCATTGCTGGGGAAAGCTTGCTTCTTCGTTCCTGTGTTTTTAGCGTTCAATTACTCAACAGCTCCCCCTGGCTTTTCAAACAATAGTAAAACAGCGAACGCAACAAGAGAAGCCTAAAGAATTAATCTAAAATATTTCTTCAAAACTTAAATGTGTCACGGGTTGCTACTGTGAGGAGCACGGAGCAAGGAACGAGGAGACCAGGAGTACAAAACAAAGGAGTTTAATATTCTTCTTCAGGGAATCACACTGTAGCGTATGGACCAGTCAGACTCACCATTTTTCATTAGATTTAACAAATCAATTATTCATTAGATTAACAAATAGTCACAGACCCCTCACCCAATAAATATACTGGGTGCCAGGATGTCTGCGAACGACACCAGGCCCCTGGTCACCATGGCAACCACGACACCTTTTGCTAGACCAGATACACTTTACGACCTAATGGCATGTTGAGAGTTCTCCCTCTCACTACATTTTCCATAGGAAAGACACATAATGCACAGTAAAAATGGACTCTTCTCTAATTAATTCATAGGAAAACCTTCTTTGAATGAACACACATATCCTTCAGGTCATTGTGTATGTTGTTACTGTCCTTGTATATTGTATTTTATATTGTATACTGTTTTATGCAGGCTTATGATAGAACCACTCGTTCATGTAATCTTACCTACATGTAATCCTACCATGTTTAGTATATATGAATTCGTCTTCTGATGATCTAATTGAGAGTGTATATTATATGCTGATACCTATGCAACATATTCGTGTTCTAAGAATCTTTACTAGTTTGTGCATCAACACCCAAGCGAATTACATTTTACTGTACATCAGTATTCATGTGTGAGGCACAAATAACTACATATATGCTTAAGCCGGCTTTAACTTACAGTAAACCTGTTTTGTTATTCTTTAAACAAGTGCAAGAAGTTTATTGTTAAATTAGAGAAGCACTCACAGAAGTGCTTATGTAATGCAACAAGTCTTGAAGGACTGAAAGCACCACGTTCTAAAACTGTGGGCAA